CCGTCTGATGATCGATTCAGTTCGTGAAGTTACGAAACCGCAACTGCTCGTTCTTTTGCCTGTGTACTCCGCTCTTTGCCTTCGGCGAATTGAGCCCTCTACTTGTGATAGCAAGTGTCCAGCAATACTGTAAAACATGTAATTTTAGGTGCATCAAAATGTTGGTGCCAGGGACCTGCCAGGTTTCAGGTGTAATGTAGAATTAGGTGACCAGCTTTCCCTTCACATACAGTGCATACTCTAGTGCCTTTTAGGTGTAATTTAAAATTTAGGTGCCTGTCTTCTCTACCGAAATCACCGAAATTAAAGTTACACCGAAAATAACATGTTCTCCAGCAAGTCCTTTTCCTTTTCCCCGCCTGTGTGTGTCTTACAGTGGTGACGGCACGCTGTCTGTGTTCAATTTCCGGAAGAGAAAGCTAGTCAAGCAGTCCGATGCCAATGATTGTGACCTAAACTCGGCGTCCATTTTCAAGGTGAGCCCATGTTGTTTGATGCTCACAGTTTGCCTGTTGGAGACGCAGTACAGTTGGCACAGTATGAGTGCTTGCTGCTCATCAGTGTGCTTACACATGTATGCCATCATACTACGCCTACATCATACTCCAGCACATCTACGCGCAAACCGTTTCCCGACACTGTCCTGCGCAAATTGTAAAAAAAAACTCTAGTTTTCCTTACTGTGCGCTAATGCACTGCCTGTAATACTGTTAATGTGGCAGCAGTGATTCTGTTCTTTGTTATCCGGAGTAGAGAAGGAGAACCCAATACCAGCTTGAGGAACTTGTCAGCCCTTATTCTGCTTGTGGCGGGGGGGGGGGGGGGGGGTGGAGGGGAATACACAGACTCTCGCCATTTCGCCCACATTGTAGTACTTCAGGGGAGATGCAAATGTGTTCTGCACTATTGGGCATTTAGAGTCTTTGAACCATGATCATGTTTATGGTGCATGGTGGTCTTGAGCGTGATGACTTTTAAAGTATTATTATGTTGTTCACTGGTTTGAGGGAAAGACGCAAACAGGAAAAGTCTGAAGAGAAAATTGACTGTCACCGCCAGGACTCAAACCAGGGACCTTCGCTTGAGGCCAGCAATGCTCTAACCACTGAACTAAGGTGTAGCCGTCATCCCAGCAGAGACCGCTCAACATCCTCTTCTTGTATCTGTTGTTGGGGATACATGTATTTCTCATTCTCCTATGGATAGAGTAGTTCTGTCTAGGCACATGGTGTGAGTATGATTATGCATTGTGAAATGTTCTGATGCTCTTGTGTTGTGCTCCTAATGGCAACCCAGAACGGCAAGAAGGTTGCTTGTGGTACTGGTGACGGCACACTGCACATCTACTCTTGGTCGGAGTGGGGAGACATCAGCGACCGCTGTCGTCTCTACTCTGGTTGTGAATCCGTGGATGCATCTGTGACAGTCGGCGATCAACAGCTATGCATAGCTTGTGATGACGGCTCCATCCGGTAAGTACAGTAGCAGATGATGTATGCCTGCTTGTGTACTGTTGTTAGCGATGGACTGTCCTCGTTATCTGACTGTCTGAAAATGCAATGCCTCTTGCCTCTGTGTTAGTCAGGTGTGAAGTGTCCACACTATCGCTGCGACCGACTGGCTGGCTGGCTGGCTGACTGGCTTGTTGGCTGGCTGGCTGGCTGACTGGCTGGCTGGCTGACTGGCTGGCTGACTGGCTTAAAGGGGAAGTATACCCTGAAATCAAATTTTCACCAGTTGTAGTCTTCTGGGTGCTGAGTCGAATGGCCTTGGTCCGAGGAAGCTGCGACGCTCCCTTCCTACTTGAATCCCAATCGAACTCGCGCACTTCCACCGAAACTGGGTGACTGCGCCCTACTAGATGGGGATTTGTATGCAAAATGTCACTAAAAGCGCCATTTCGTTCTTATAAAAGCACGGATGACCGCGATTGGCCCATATGTTGTAGTCTTTTGGACGCTGAGTCGACTGGTTTTGGTCCGAAAAGGCTACGATGCAGCGTTCCTCCTTTATTCCCAATCGAACATGGTTGAACAAGCGGTCACGTGCTCCTGGGTGCCCAAATCACCTGGTCACCACGCCAGCAGGCGAGAACTTTCACACCAAGGTTCAACTCGAGTTCAACTCGAGTGACAGGACTGCACCCAAAAAAGGTCAAACAGGCTAGTAAGTTGTACCGTGCAGGCACGGTGACCAGGTGACTGGTGTACGCAGGAGCACGTGACCGCTTGTTCAACCATGTTCGATTGGGAATAAAGGAGGAACGCTACATCGCAGCCTTTTCGGACCAAAACCAGTCGACTCAGCGTCCAAAAGACTACAACATATGGGCCAATCGCGGTCATCCGTGCTTTTATAAGAACGAAATGGCGCTTTTAGTGACATTTTGCATACAAATCCCCATCTAGTAGGGCGCAGTCACCCAGTTTCGGTGGAAGTGCGCGAGTTCGATTGGGAATAAAGGAGGAAGGGAGCGTCTCAGCTTCCTCGGACCAAGACCATTCGACTCAGCACCCCGAAGACTACAACTGGTGAAAATTTGATTTTAGGGTATACTTCCCCTTTAACATACTAAAAGAAAAGCTTGGCTGTGAAAGTGACTAACTTCACACCCGATAACGACTAAACCTGTGTAGCAGCTTACGACAATAACATATCCTGCGAGGTGTGTGTTGCGACATTGTGTTGTTATAACCAGCTAGCACTCGGCATCCTCCATTGCTAGTACTTTGAGAGGTTGTGTCCCGTCTTCAAGTGCCTGTAATGCCTCTCCGTCTTCTGTCTTCAGGTTAGTTCAGCTGTACCCGAATAAGGTCCAGGGCATTGTCGGCCGGCATGTTGCTGGCGAGCCCATTGAACGTCTTGACCTTACGTATGATGGCCGCTACGTAGTCAGTACATCACTAGACGAGACCATTCGCCTCTGGGACATCCAGGAGTACATGGCATCAGTCGGGCAGAGCAGTGACTCAGATGATTCGGATGATTCAGATGATTCGGATGATGACGACGACGATGATAGCGATGATAGCGATGATGATTCTAGCTCTGTCGGAAATGGAGCATCCCGCAGCGGACCTGCAGCTGCTAAGAAGTCGAGGTCGTCCAACCCTGGCAGCCGTGGCCATGCTGCGGGTAAATCTAGTAGTGTTGATAGCGATGACAGTGGTACTAGCGATGATGCTGACGCAGATAGTGATGGGCCACGCAATGCTAAAGCTACTGCAGTCGCCCCTGGAAAGCGGAAAGCCGCGGCGAAGAAGCAACCAGCGCAGCAACCGGCAAAGCGCAAGAAGAAGCCTGCAGGCAAGGATGGGTTCTTTTCCGATCTATGAGCAATATGTGGCGCCCCCAGAACGTTATGGAGGTTGCTACTGCTGTTTAGGACGCTGTCTGCTGCTCATCAGTATTAGCAGGTCAGAACAGTTAATTACAACCTGCTGGTTGGGTTGGGTTTGAGTTATATATTTTTTACAATAGGTTTGTTTGCTCGTTTGTGGGTTTGAGATGGTCATTTTAAAATGATAGCCATACTTCTTTGAGTGTCGTTCCAATCTATACTGTTCAACAGCAGTACGTTCGAGTGTTGTGTGTGTGTGTGTGCATGCGCGCGCGTGTGTGTGTGTGTGTGTGTGCATGCGCGTGTGTGTGTGCGTGCGTGTGTGTGTGTGTGTGTGTGTGTGTGGTACATGGTGTGTGTGTGCCGGGAGTCTGAGAAAGGGAAGAAAGCTCTTCTCCTGGGTGGTTACCAACAGCCAGTGCATGCTGGATTATGTGGTGTGATGCGGGAAAAAAAATGAAAAGACCAAAAAGTAGGGATTCACTGGCCAGAAAAAGCCACTTCATAGCTGTGTGGTGTAGACCAGGCTGAATAGTGCCGGTCAATTCTTCAGCCTTGCAAACTGTTGAATGGTGCAATCCCAGCACAAGTAGACTGTGAGCCAGGCACCAAAAATCCTGTTAGAATTTTTTTTCGTTCCGACCTTGAGCGTACCGCAATTTTTTTCCCCAGTTCGTTTCATCTACTCGACTAGATACGAATTCAGCTTGTTGTCACTTCCAAATCAGGCACGAACATGCCCAAATAGAAGGGAGAAACTACTTTGGCCAAATCAATAGCCGCCATCGACAAGAACCAAGGTCACAAGAGCTGGAGCGGACTTCTGTTGCACCACTGACCTCGCAAAAATGTACGGTGGTGCAAACCCAGCCGCATCATGACGATGTTTTTTCGTGGTTTAGTATTGTGTGCAGTGCTAGTGCAGCGCAGTGCAGTGGCAGTACGAACATCATCATGTCAATCATATCAGTGTGCTAGCATGCTTGCTGCTGATCAGTCAAGCTAAACTAAAGGTTTTTGTAATCTGTTGGAGCAGAAATACATGTAGAACGTACAATGTACCTTATCTCCGGAGAGCTAATAACTGTTTCGATCTTTTATACTGAAGTGCTTCAGACTATGATTAATCGTATCTTTCCGCTTGTGTTCTGTACATACAATGGGTAATTTAACTAACGTTTCAAAATAATTATTATTATAGTTCAAATAAACTACAGATCTGTATCTACCGGTATACCCCTGCGGTCCTCTAACGTTACTGGTTACGGTCATTGCTCTACCCTTTGCACTTATAAGTTAGGAAGCAATACAGCAGTACTTACGAAGTAACGTTACATTGATCAGTTATATGAGTGCAAATATACAAATCCTGTATCCAGCAACTTCTTTAACATTATTCTGCCATACTGTACATGTATATATTATAGAGATGTAGAGGGTGAAATGAGCATTGCACCGGATTAAACCAGATTCTCCTGGCTGTTGTTGATGGTCTTTTCCAACCGTTGTCTGGAGAATTCGCTGCTGCTGGGCTTTGTATATTGAATGCCACCTGTTTGTTCTGTACATTATCATTCCTGAAGTGCATTTCGTGGTTGTCGGCACCATTTCATGTGCACTTACCTACCAGTGCATCGTCACTTCGAGTAATATTTAAAATGTGCACGTACTTTATACAATGCACTTATGCGCAATTCTATAATTTTTGGCCTCGTATAGTTATTTTAACCCAGCTGCAATGACGCTTGATATACATTTCTTCGTCCAGTGCCGTTGCCTGCTGAAAAAAGTAAGAAACACCTTCAAAATAGCATGTTGCTATGTCAGTTGCTATGTAGTTGCTATGGAAACGGGGAATGTTAAGATAATTGCTTATTTTGACTTCCCTGCAAGCTTCCCAAACTGACAACAATCAAAAATGATCTTCTATTAGGTCTCTCCACATGCTAAAAGAACAAAATCGCGGTACACCCAAAGTGGGAACGAAAATCATGAATTCATGCACTTGGCTCACAGTCTAAAGTTGCTATGGCTTCTGCCGTAGCATCGCTATCGGCGTCAAAAGGTGTGTGTGTGTGTGTGTGTGTGTGTGTGCCTCCTCGTTGTGACCATAATTCATTCAAATTCAAAAAACTACAAATTCCCCAAACCACTTCGTCTGACTAGTGCAATGCGTACAACAAACCTCCCGACAGCTCGCAAGGCTGTCAGGACGGGCCACAGCAGCCAAGGCCTGGTCTCCACCATACGGCACTTGGCTGCCAAGTGTGGCTAATCCATCATTGAGACAGAGCTCAAAAAGAGCAAACTGCCTCCTCCAACAACAAGTTGCAACACAGTATCCCATCCAGAGATGTTCTTGTGCTCCTTGGGGATTTGAACGCGCGCGTCGGGTCCAGCACTGACTATGCAGACAGCGCTGTGAGTCGTATCGATGGCATGCCAGGGGATGAGCGGATGTGGGGTTGTGTCTTGGGCCAATTTGGCCTTGGAAATTGCAATCGGGCTGGTGAGGAGCTGTTGTCATTCTGTGCAGCTAATCAATTGTCAGTAATGAATACATGGTACAAGAAGGGACGAAGTAAGCGTGGAACATGGACTCATCCAGCCACTCGCCAAGTGCATCTCATTGATTATGTCATCATGCGTACAGCTCATTGCTGCTACTGTAAGGACGTTGGTGTTGTCCGCGGCGCACTGTGCTGGACTGACCACTACATGGTTCGGGCCAAGCTTGTCCTGGACTTCGTCCAACGTAGATCCACTGTCCCTAAGCGGAGGTCGTATGCCACCCATCGCCTGCGTGAGCCTGATACGTTACTGCAGTACCGAGAGTCAATGGAGGCAGCCTGTGGTGGCGCGGTCGGTGGTGGCCAGAGTGTTGAAGAGACCTGGAATTCCCTTCGTGATGACATCACCAGCGTAGCGGAGAGAACACTGGGCCATGGTCGGCGGCGGCAACCAGACTGGTTTCTGGAGAATAGGGCAGCATTGGAGCCACTTATTGAGGCGAAGCGACGTGCCCATGAACGAATGTTGTCGGCAGGCAATCAAACGACACGTTCCGGATTTAGATCAGCCCAGCGGTCGGTTGCGAGGGCGGTGCGTGGTGCAAAGGAACAATGGATCCGTGAGGTGGTCGGTGATGCTGAGCGTGCTCAAAGGGATGGCTGTGTGAGGTGGAAATGCATCCGAAAATTGCAGCGAGTGGATGATGGCAGGCGTACGGTCACACCCTCGGCGGTTTATGATGGAGACGGACACCTTACTGACAGCCCGGAAAGTCTTGTTACGCGTTGGCATGCACACTTCGACAGAGTGCTCAACATTGCTAGTCAGTTTAGTATGCATGTCATTGATAACATGCCTACTGCTGAGCCGCGTCATGAACTTGACATGGCCCCGACATTTGAGGAGGTGATGGCTGCGATGCGGAGGATGAGTAGGGGCACGGCTGGTGGCTCGTCAGGTATTGTGCCGGAATTGGTGCTGGGTGGCGGTCTTGCTCTCCACCGGCGTATTCATTCTCTGATTTCCCAGATTTGGGCAGGTGGCTCCGTTGTTTCTGAGTGGCGCGACGCTGAGATTGTACCCATACCGAAGAAAGGCGACCTACGGTCATGTGACAATTGGCGAGGCATCAGCCTGTTGGATGTAGTCGGTAAGCTGTTTGCACGGGTTATCCAGGATCGCCTTCAGGAACTGTCCGAGGATGTGCTGCCTGAGTCACAGTGCGGTTTTAGGAAGGGACGTGGGTGCGTCGACATGGTGTTTGTGGCGCGCCAGCTAATCGAGAAGGCCATCGAACATGATACGCCACTGTATGTCATATTTGTCGACCTGAAGAAGGCTTATGACAGCATACCTCGTGAGGCGTTGTGGCTTGTCCTCGGGAAGCTCGGTATTCCACCTACCCTTCTCAGCTTGATTCGGTCCCTACATGTCGGCATGAGGGCTCGGGTTCGTATATCTGGTCGCTTGACGGAGGACATATATGTTAACAATGGTCTTCGCCAAGGCTGTACTCTTGCCCCCACCCTATTCAATCTGTATTTTGCTGCCGTAATGTCGTCTTGGCGTTCCCGCTCTTCTGTTCCCGGCGTGTCCCTGCGCTCACGCCCTGGCCGGAAGCTTGTTGGGGATCGAACAACCAAGGCGCGACTGAACACGTACCAAGTTACCGAGTCCCAGTTCGCTGATGATGCCGCTGTATACACCACATCAAGAGAACATCTGGAGACCCTGGCAAACGAGTTCATCGCCTGTGCCTCTCAGTGGGGTCTCACTGTCAGCATCGCCAAGACAAAGGCCATAGCAGTCGGCCCGGGGGACCTACAACCTGATGTCGTCCTCGATGATGGTGGAGTTGTGGAGATGGTCTCCGGCTTTACTTACCTCGGTAGTGTGGTGAGTTGCGATGGGTCACTGGACGTGGAGATCACCTCCCGCTTGGCCAAGGCATCTCGTGTGTTTGGTTGCCTCCTGACCCCGATTTTCCGGTGCCGGGGTTTATCCATCGACATTAAGTGCACGGTATATCGCGCTTTTGTCCTGAGCACTCTGTTCTACGGTGCAGAGACATGGGCTGTGAAGGCTACCCACGTCCATCGGCTGACCGTCTTCCATCGCTCCTGTATTCGGTCTATCCTCGGTGTATCGCGGATCCAGCAGTGGGAGGACAGGCTCACATCGGCAGAATTGGGCAGGCGATTTGGCATGTCTCTTGACATCTCCGATTTGCTCCGACAGCATCGTCTGCGCTGGCTGGGGCACATTGCCCGTATGGAGGAACACCGCACTCCGCAGCAGATGGTATTTGGCGAGTTATATGCCACTCGCCCCCGCCACGGTCCGAAGAAGCGATGGCGTGACGTTGTTGTCACTGATCTAGCTGCGGCACAGATCGGAGAGGGAGAATGGTTCCATCAAGCCCAGGATCGCCCAACCTGGAAGCGGTTGTGTCGTCAGCAGCCTCCTCCACCCGGACCGAAAGAGTTCCGTTGCGCATGTGGCCGTCCCTTTGGCCGCATTGGGGACCTGAGGAGGCACGCCCCCCACTGCCGCGTCTGAGCCATCATCGCTACGCGATGGGCGTCCAAGGTCCAAGGTCCAAGGTGTGTGTGTGTGTGTGTGTGTGTGTGTGTGTGTGTGTGTGTGTGTGTGTGTGTGTTGCTATGTCTTACGTAGCTGTTCGCTATCATCGCTTCCGCAATGCCAATGGGCATGTCTGAGTCTGAGTGTGTGTGTTAGGCTCGTTCTTTTAAACGTAAATTTCATTAGTTCGGAATGTTTTTAGTCTGATTGATAAGTGGGTGGGTGGGTGGTGCCATGATGCACTTCTTGCTTTTAAATCTTTACCAAGGAGAAATGCTAAGCTGCACTTTCACTAGCGATTCACGCTGCACTTGCACTAGCGACCATTAGCGGTTCCGCTGTATACTTAGCACCCATGTGCGATTCCGCTGACTCACGCTGCATAATTAATTAGCGCTGACTCGCTCTGATGAAATCTGCATAGCCTCTATAATAAATTCCTAACTAAGCAGGCATGCGATTGCATACTAGACGCCGAGACCTTTGAGGTCGGCAGAGCAGCCTGGCCCCGCCACCACTTCTCGCACATATTCGGGAATATAGTGGACTTTCGTATAAAAAAAAATATATATATATACTCACTGTACCATACTGTACCGTACTGTATTGCTATTACTAATTACCGGTAATTATTTGGCAAGAACTACCAGCAAGAGTACATAAACCGGTTTATGTACTCTTGCTACCACTTATCGTTTCTCACCCAAACACAAGTTCGGCCCGGAGTACTTCAAGTACGTTTAACATAATTGCAAACAAGTAATTAGTTGTCACAACTTGCTTTCTACGGCGACGTTTCTGGGTTTCTGTCTGTCCCTACACGTATACATGCACATACCGTTTTTTAGCAGGGAGTCCCAAGTAGAAAAAGCAGAAATGCCGTTCTACTCCCTACAAAGCTCACTGCGGACTTGTTTATTATTAGTTTGAGCATTCGGGCCCGGTCTAATTCTAAATCTGGCTTTGGAAATTTTATTTTTCACTGCTATCAATCAGGTTGGCCATTTTCTCTGGCTGCGCCGACGAGCCCACAAAGGACGAAACAGTTCTGTCCGCAGATTGAGTACTCATTTAAATTTTTAATTATTTTAGTGGGGGGGGGGGGTGCATGTGAACTCTGGCTCTGAGATTGAGAAGCAAAGTACAGTAGAATGTGGCAACAACACTCAACACGACAGTCGACAGGCAACGATGTTACGTGCAACCACGCATAGTCAACAACAATGTTACATGTTTGTTAGCACAGCAACCAACACACACAACAGCCAACAGCACGCGACAATCTACGACGTGAAGAGTCTACCGGTAGATCGTCATCGATCACCGATCAACAGTCAACAATTTTTACATGATTGACACATGCATGACTAACGTTAGTCGTTAGCTACCATGTACGCGGCCTCTGGTAACATTTTTTTCCTTCTTTCTTGCTTGAGAGTTGGTGAACATGGTAGTAATTGATTGCGATATTACTGTAGTAGTGTAGTACTAGTAGTAAAGAAGCCGTTCTCTCTTTGGCTTGAAGCTGAAGTTGTCTTTTGTCAGAAGTTTACCCTAAATGGCTACAACTTACAAGTGTGGTCGCCAGTTCAGCAGAGCGTCTGGCTCAAAGTAACTTCGATGACTCCCACACGACATAAAGCAGTCACGAAATAGTTGCCAGGGGATAGTGATAATGTTTTACTCAGATACTAGTATCGAGACAAGAGCGACGTTTTCAGCTTGCAAGTATTGCTGGCGTCGCTAACAACGGAGCGTTAGCGGTTGTTGCCTGACTGTTTCGTTGGAAGAGCATGCAGGGACGACGCAGAGCAAATCTATCGCCTTTCACGCTGGAGAGTGTGTTCCTGGTGGGCCTGTCATGCATCTGTGCTTATTTCATGGGCCTGGTGTCCACGTACTTTCTAATACAACAACAGCGTGGCTCATCACCCCGTTACGTTCCTCCAACAGCACCCAGCACATATCCGTCAGGTGATGTCCATGGCGTAGTGGACACATACTCAACTGAGAAGCAGGTTGGTGATGCACTGCCCAAGCCAGACCTGCCGTCCGGCAATGTCTTTCTGCTCGCCCTCACGGTCGCCGACTCGGTGGACATGCGATCGCGTGCCATTCTACGCCGCTCGTGGACGAAAGTCTGGCACCGGGAATCACTGGACAAGATGCCTGGCAGGGTGCAACAACTGTTCGGTTCGCGGTCATGGCTTACGGATGACATGGAGTGTAGCGAGTATTTCCGTCACTATTTCGTCATCAGCCAGTTTGCCCTGATCCACGAGGCCATAACATGGGAAGCAGAGATCGAAGGCGATATGCTACTCACGGAGCTCTACATATTTGCGTCAAAGACGTTGCAGCTGCTTTGGGCTCTGCGCTGGTCGCTTGAGCACGTTCGATTTCGCTACTTAGTGAAGACAGAGCCGGATACATTCCTGTATGTACCCACCGCTGTGTGGTGGTTACGAGAATCACACGAGGTGACACGGACCGGGTACTACGCCGGGTACATGCTGAAAAAAGCTGCTGTGGTACGTGCGCACCGGAGGCCATGGTTTGTTAGCAAGTTCTCGTTCAACGAGGCACAGTATCCGAATTATATCGACGGCGGGTGTGTCATCATGTCACGGGACCTAGCGCGCACTCTCAGCTCAGACTGGATGTCCATTGTGACGCTGGAGGATAAGCACCCGCGTCAGTTCCTGCACATTAGCGATATTGACGTGGGAATCAGCCTCTATCATTCTGCTGTTATTTCTAAGAGTCTTATACACGTCTATGCGAAATGGGAGAGTGGCCTGTGCCGGGATGCTGATCTCGTGGCCTCTAGTCGAGTGCCCGACTCAGTTCTCTTGTCAACGAACCGGAGCACTTCGTTCCATGTGTGTGGTAGTGGCGGTGCAGGCTGATACCAGTGCAAGACTGACAGGAACACCCACTTGCGGAACGGGCAATCTCACCCTCCTTGTTCCTGTGTGTCAGCCATTGCTCGTGTGAGGTGAGCATCCTCTGCCGGCTCTGGCATTGGAGAGGCATGTAGTATAGCCTCTGTCATGGCTGTGGTCCTGGAAGCTGGACGTGTGTTGGGCGTTCATCGCTAAGCAGTGCCCTGGCGTTGTCCTTGACCTGGACATAATACAGTAATTTCGATCACACCCTGGTCGTGGCTGAATGTGGCATCCAGTAGATTATTGCAACGGAGAGTTTTGCCTGACGCACAGTTGCTGGCATTGATGGCATTTGATCATTTGCTACTCTGGTACTGCTCTGAAGACGGACTTTGGGGATGGCAAGAGGCGTTCGTCCTACGCGCTTGCTGCCTGGTGCATGGTGGTGAATATGTGCCGTCTCTGTATCCCATCTCTGTGCGTGTGACCGGCCACTGCTTGAGTTGACTAGGTTTTGGACGACCAGCACCTTCACTCCAGTGTACAGGTGCATGTAGTTCACTGGATTGCCAGGGACATTCCTGGATTATGGCCCATCACCAGCAGATAGATGACTTAGGTTCATATCCGGGTGGACACTCTGAGGACGTACGAAACGACTTAGTTGAAATTACCAGCAATAGTTGAAGCTGCACTATATTGGGGTTATTCATGCTCATCAAAACTCTAAGCCGGCCATCTTTCCAGGTCATACTTGTTTGTAATCTCTTCTGTTTTGCGCAGAGATTCTTTATCATTTTTCGTCTTCTCGCCGATTATTAGATATTTATCAGTATTTATTTCTTTGCCCTCGCTGTCAGCACCTTCCAATTTTTCATTTTACTGTCGATATATGTGTCCAATTCCAAAATACATGTACATGCAGTTATAATAGATACAACCCTGTTGGTATCGTGTTGCATGGACTACCTGCCATCACGCAGGAGCCAGGACTTTTGCACGCAACCACTCCAGGTCCCGGACACACACACACACTGATCGTCAGTAAAAAAAATTGGTCAGTAAGCAGCAAGCTGTCTAATCCGATGAGGAAAAAAAGAAAAGGGTACATGATTGATGATAAGCCTGGGCAAGCATGCAGATGAACAGTGTGGGTTAGGTGAACATTGGTTCCTTCAGCGAATGCGACCAGTGGTAATGACAGCACATCATAGGTGTGGTCACCCGATCGACGCTTTTTGTATGGCAAAGTGAGAGTACTGCATGATTGCATACGGCCTGCTAGGCAGGCAATCCTGCAGTCCTACAGGCTGGCCTGCTAGGCAGGCGATCCTGCAGTCCTACAGGCTGGCCTGCTAGGCAGGCAATCCTGCAGTCCTACAGGCTCGTCAGTGAGAGAACCGAAGGTACCAGCAGAGTGACAGTGTAGAGAAGCGGCAAGTTCTTAAGATAAATTTGCGTAGGAGAGCTGCTATGTACAGTACAGTGGAATTGGTATCGGTGATTGCTGTCAGTTGCTACGATAAACATTATGTAGAGCTACTAAGCTACGGGTGAAACAAAGAATGCCATCTCCGACGCACTAGACCGTGGCGATATGTGGTGCAAACGGCAAGAAGAATAAGAATGCTTGGGAGAGAGAGAGAGAGAGAGAGAGAGAGAGAGAGAGAGAGAGAGAGAGAGAGAGAGAGAGACAGAGAGAGAGAGGGAGAGAGAGAGAGAGGGAGAGAGAGAGAGAGAGAGAGAGAGGGAGAGATGTGAGATGTCAGCGCATGCGTGATGAGTGATATAGTTCAACCGTTGTGTCCGCGGACAGTCTTGTTCATGCAGTGAGATCATCATGATAAATATAGTCACCAAAGTAGCAGCAGTAGCACCAGTACGCGTTGTGCTTCTACTCAACAGCAGCTGGTATTCCGCTTCTACACGTGCCTAATTTGGCACTCGGGTGTCTTAAAGCCTGGCTATCTAGCTCATGGCTTTTTGGATGGGGATTGTTTCTTAGCCACGTGTTCCAGCTGCAGCTTGCTTGCCTGCGCAGACGTCGAGGAAGCCCGCGTTGGCCGCATGTAGCTGGGCACATGAGCAGAAGTGCTGGTGCTTGGGGACGTCTTGCGCGCACTCTGGGATACAGCGGGTGCCAGAACACGTGCATGTCAAGTATGAAAACATTGAAACCTCCATCATTTTGTACGATTGCCAAAGTACACTTTATCATAATTATAACAAGAGAAATTTCGGCCAATGTTACCAGGTGTTGTTGACAAATACTCTACTCAGTGCACAAAAACTGCACCTCCACACAGCCAATTTCATAGATGTAATCACCGAGAGTATTCATGGAACTATCACAGCTTGCCTTCCGTTTCAATGCACAACTGCTGGTTCTCTTGTCCACAGTCTGGCTTACACAACAACCATTCAATTAGTACACACAGCTCCACCATGGGCTGCTCCAAGTCTGGGCATGAGAACCACCAAGATTATCAATGTGCCAATCACCACAGTCTGCAATCCACATTCCTTTGGTGCTCTGAGATATCACACTGGAGTTAGCAACACTGCACACCGCACACACGAAGCTACAGTACTCACCGAAGGTCTTGCAGCCGCTGAAGCACCTCCATTCGGGACACCCAGGGTGGCCGAACTCTTGCTTTTTACCTGGTACGGGAACATGTTGATAACATTACACGACAGAGACTCAATCGCATTTGTATTGAAAGACTTTCGCATTGACCGGTATCAGCATTGATAGACATTCGTATTGATAGACATTGGCATTGAAGGACATCGGTTGTGAACGCATGCTGAATATATTTTTTTGCGTCTTGCAAAGGCGCAGATCTCCAATCACAGGCAGTGAATGCCGATGGTATCTTAGCCGTTGTCTAGGAGTTTACATGGCTGTACGGAGTGCCTTACCCCAAGCCATCTGTTGTACACCAGCAAGTACCATGGCAAGAGAACTCGTCTTGCAGTCATGTCTGTACAACTAAATGAAAAGCCAACCTCGTTCTATGCAGGCCATGTACTTGTTCTGACTGAAGATTTCTATGTGATCTGTAGTACATCAATTCGGAATCAGGTACATGTACTACTACACTGTAGTACTTTGCTACAGTTTCTTCAAACTACAGTACAGTTGACAGTTGTCTTCAGTGACGTCATCCTTCACTACTAGCAAGTATGTAGAGTAAAACCTGTCAAGGTGACCACCTCGGCACCTGTCCTAGAGGTTCACCGAATCCAGGACCAAAGGGTATCACTTCCACTAAAATGACCCTGGCATAGGGAACCACCTGAACACGGGGACTAGAGTTTTGGGGTCCCATGAGTTGTCGGCTCAGACAGGTTTCACTGTGCACACACACGCACGCACGCACGCGCACGCACACACACACACACTTCAATGACCACTAAAGACTTACCGTTTTCAAGCCATGCTGCGGTGACAGTTTAGTGGGATCCTGCGCCTGCAGCTCACTTTGTGCATGGGAGTGCTCTTCACTGGACTCATCCTATAGGCAACCATTACACAATCCATAAACAACAATCACCAGTGCTTCGTGTATTCATCTTGGGCTGCAGTAGGGACGACATGCTAAAACAACGCATATTCCACAGACGGCATTATTCGTTTGTCGACATGGCTATACTATAAGGAGCCATGTTTGTTGGCCAAGGACCAGTTGAAAACACTTGCTATTCTGCCGATGGTGGATTGTCCTTAGTGGATGCACTGTAGGTTGTGGGATTAGGTAGCACTGACTCACCAATTTGGATTTCTGCTCCAAGCTCATCCCTTGACTCATCTCGCTCATCAGTTGCAGTACATTCAACTTGTAGTCTCCCTTGCGGCCCTGTTGCACATGTTGCACACGATACACACAGCAGATGGCACAATTCAATTACATGGGACCGGCAGAAACACAGATCATGCATGCACGCATGCGCCACTTATCTAACACAGGACGATATTGGTGATTCAATTTCCAAATTATGCCAGTCCATCCCTGGCACGACTACGACGAAGACACACCACAGGCTCTTACCGTTATCCAGGGGTGTTGTAACGCTTCCTGGGCTGTGGTCCTCTTTGCCGGACTGACGTCCAGAAGCTGTAGAAGAAGCTCTTTCGCTGCAGGTAGTAGTGAATGGAAAATAGGCAAAGGACAAGGGGACACAGTCAAGTCACATATGGGTAGTTGTGGGTAGATGTCAAGTGCACATGTTAGCAAGAACAATACAAATCAATGAAAGGTGATGCATCATCATACATCATCTATTGACATTTCCCCTCGAACCCTCTCCACAATGGTGAACCATTGAGCAGGCTAGAACGAAGCAGTGCGGTTTTCTTTTCTGACCTTCCTTGTTCACTTTGTGCCATATCGCTGCCGACATGTCAATGTTGCCCTTCATGATCTCCTTGGTCAGGTCCGCTGCTGTTGTGGATTTGAATGGCATTGATCCAGAGAGTCTGAGCAGTCAGCACACGCAGAGCAATAATGATAAAGAGCTGCTTTGCTTCTAAAGCTACAAACGTCAATAGACCTCATGTTACTATTATTATCTTGCAGAAAAGTACATTGCTAAATGAAATGATCTACTGCCTATGGCTGTGCGAAGTATGTCGTGGAATAGTTTGTCCAGTGCCCCCAATCCAACGTTTAACAACATGCCTTTGCAGCGACTCTAACACTTGAAGTGTTGGCGATATTGAACAATGGTCGGTGCACTTCATTAGCTACTCCTCTCCCTTCTGTTTGCTTTCACATACGTCAACACGTCCTTCAGTGCCACCATGAGTACATGATCGATAGCTTGCAACTTGCCAATGCCTAGCTTCGCTCACGGTGGAATTTTATTGATGACATCAATCTGTTGAAGACAAAGTCTGACACGACTCGTAGGTAAGCCCATCACAACTCAAGATAGGAGTTGAACACCCTTGAAATGGTGTACTCTAGCAAATGTACTTTTGACTGTGGCTATGATTATTGCATAGAGTTACGCCATTTTGTACCAGGGTATCTGGTGCCGGGACTGTTGTATAAAAAAGTGCAGTGTTTTATGCCACTGCGGCTAGTCTACGATGTTGAATTGTTATACTCACAGCTTGAACATAATGATGCCTAGACTCCACACATCACACTGCTTCGTGTAGGTGCGGAATGAGTCCAGTACCTCCGGTGCTGCAGGAAAGGATACAATTACATACGGGCATCACAAGTGAGTTGACAAGAGTTCATGTGTGCAACCAAGTGGCGGTATGATAGTAGGTTGTCATTTATTGTACAGGCGCAACATGTTGATAAGGAAGAACATGAGAATGAGGATGACCTGATCATTGGCATACATACCCATGTAGAGAGGTGTGCCGCAGTAGCTCTGCATTATTGCCTCCGGATTGTTTCCTTTCTCCACCAGACAGGACAGGCCAAAGTCCGTCACCTGCAGCGCAGAATGCACAGGATGCGGCAGTGGATTCACGACCAGCAACACTGCCAGCTTTTAAAATAGCTCCTTAACCATGAGTGGTGCCGCTGGTCCAAATAAAACTTGTACACACGTCACAATCAATGCTTCAAGTTTCAACACCGTGCATCACACACATACATGTAAATACAAGCCATATGCATGTGCTATGAACTTCAACATTGCAAATAGATTCTCCGGTCTTCTTCAAGCTATGTGTACAAACACATAGTATGCTTTGAAAACGTTGAGGAGGAGGTCGCATTCGCTTTCCTTGACGCACAAGAGGAGAGCTTCTATTCGGCTGGAATAGTATGTATGCTGATATGAGAAGTACATCAGGGTTTCGTGTTTGATTTTGTGGCAAAGGCTCAAAGCTTTACAAACCCCCTTGATATGTCTCCAGCATCAAGCTACGCTACCTTGATGTCCCAGGGATCGTCCTCGGTGACCTTCAGCAGTATATTCTCCAACTTGAGATCACGGTGCACCATTTTGTTGTCGTGCATGTAGCCGACTGCACTGAACAAGCGGGTCATGACCGTCTTGGCTTCCTGCAGGGCACGCATCATAGTGCAGTCAGTACATACATGTATACCGTGCACACAGTGCATGCACATGCATACACATGGATACAGTGCAAACACACACACATCATCATACACATGCATCCATGTACAGCACATGTCACAGGGCATAGCTTAAGGATTTCATTTAGATCGGACAAACGTCCTTCCATTTTGAAATCTGTCCGGACATGCCCGGACATTTTCCACAGCACATTTTCAGGGCGTTTCTTCTTTTTTTTTTAGTAGTACAGTGAAAGAGTGAAAAATAAAAGATGACATCTTCCTCTCAAGAGCGAACAACTGCACTAGCAGTCCAACCCATCGATTCAAGTGCGAAGTCGACACCAACGGTCGAAAGTGTGAATTGACTGTAGCAACAATGCGTTGGTACAGGTGGATCAAGTAAATAATTATAGTGAAGTCTACGCCTGAGACTACGGTGTACGTGTTAGTTGTACGATATGCAAGTCGCATTTCGCGGCAACGAAGCTCCGAAGAAAGCCCATCTCTGCATGAAAAGGTCGAAAGGTCGCTGCTCTTTTTTTACTTTTTGACCGGACACTATGTCCGGTGAAATTGAAAACGTCCAGTCAGTGGCCGAAAATGGCCAGAAAATGTCCGATGTCCGGCCGTTAATCTATGCCCTGTGTCACGGACAACACATGCATGTACGTACAAGGACATACAATTAACATGTGACGGTATCTGTGTACGGATAGCTGGCACCATTTCAAAGCCAAATTGGGATAATGGTCATCACTTCTGGACTTACAATGACAGCTTGGAATTGTTCTTACATGTACAGGATAACTTTCCCGTAGCAGGCACTTCTCAACTCAGGACACCTCCACATTCTGGACACAGTTGTTGAGTTCCAACCTGGTACTGGTGTTCTCCCGCGATCTCTATAAACCATGCCCTGCGTCAGATCTCATAACAAACTTTTAAATCTCCAGTGCCAGACACAATGCTACCCTCGCTTGTTCCGTGGCGTGTTAAATAGATGGAGGACAAAGACAACAGAAGTGACTTACGTCATTTGCTAATCTCTTTCTGACAGCCAATACAGCTTCCAGGTCTCCACCGCCGCAAAACTCAAGGACCATCATTGTTTGCTGCGAGAAAGTTGCACACAATGACAATTGACAAGACACCTAGCTTGTTGACCTGTATCTAAAGAACAGCACTTACAATGCCATCCTGTGCCCGCAGTTTCCCTGGCAAGTCAAGAACAGTGGGTTTCTAGTAACTTTCTACGCTTGGCATTGTAATTAGTATTACCCGGTAATTTACACCCTCGCCAAGACATGTATATCCAGTAGATGCGGAATTCGTGACAACATGAAGATGAGCAAAGGAACAAGAACAATACTTGGTGCGGTGATGAATATTGCTACCTCGGTGTACGACTAAGAACTCTGTAGCCTCCGTTTATCGAAGTGCATGCTTCTAAATTTGTCAGCCGCTCGGAGTGGAGTTTCATCTCGTACAGTAGTCATTGCACAACACGAAACATCTCTACTCTCTACCAGTCAGTAGTCATTGCACAACACACGAAACATCTCTATTATCTACCAGACTGCAGTTGCAGGGCTGCTCACGTACCTGGTGGGTTTCGAAGACTTCGTGCAGACAGACGATGTGCGGGTGCTCGACTTTGCGCAAGATCGTCAGCTCGTTCTCCATCATCTGCACGGCCCGTGTACCCGCCTGTCCAGTGGAAACAATCATAGTCACAGCAGCCACAGTAAAGAAGAATACGCATAAGATAATCACATTTGCAAATCATCACAGGCCTGGCAAAACACAACTGAGCATGAGCATCAGAGTGGGGTGCTGCAGTACTGCCGGGCGCCGGAGAACGCATAGGCTGGGATATCACCAAGCACAGCATAACGATATTCATGTACATGTATGTGCAGTGACTCTGCTGCGCAGAGACTGTACATGAAATAAGAACGAACTGCCTGGGCTACGAGGCTGACGCCCAGTTCTCTGGCACCTGACAGTATTGTATCATGGGCCTACTTGGGCCCTTTCATACACTTTTTATCCCTGGATTCTCTGCATGATGTTGCCAGTCGGTTGGCTTACGACTCATACATCCGGCGAAACGAAGAAGTGACAAATGCGGTCTTGTCAATATCAACATCTCAATATGAATGGTGGTAGCGTGCCAGTGCAGTGGATCATGCAGCCAAAAGAGAGTGCTGCATGGAATGGGAGAGTGGACTAACGGGTTGTTGTTGTTGTTGTTGTTGTTGTTGTTGTTGTCTTTATTTTAAGTGCATCACGAAAACAAACCTGACATACATGCAGTTGCTATTTTTCTCTGGGCACAAGACAATGTCAAAGAACCCGCAGAGCTAATTGCCGGCCCAAGAAGGCAATTGGAGCATGTCGAGGCACTACGTGCCGTGCATGATTGCAAACTCCTTTACAAGTAAGTAAGTACCAAACTGCATCTCGAACTGTACTTTACTTCAGTAGCAGGAGAATTTCGTGTGCTGGATGGCCTACATACATGATTGTACAAGATTGTACATCTAGGAAGGATGGTCTGTTGCAGTGGATGATAGATTGTTATTGTGTTGGCATTATATCACATTAATTTAATTTTTTATTATCTTATCACAGGACGCCTTCCGGATTCAATGGATATAATCAGCATGTCATGATCCAAGAAAATCTAGGGCCGTTGGTGCTTTGCCATTGATAACATTTCGAAGTGTTACGTTTATTACAGACTCCACTAAGAATAGGTAAGACCACTCCCTCCAAGTTCCATAGCAAAACAACAATGATGGATCATACACGACGTTGTCACCGTGTAGACTACGTGTGTAACTGGGTATCACATTTTTGCATCCGAATGGCAATTCATCTGATCTTCCTCATCTCAACCAAATGCCTCGAACATGATCCCAGGCACAACGAAAGTTGACTACAGTGTAAAATGGAGGAGAACACGTCGCCCATTCATTGTGCTGCCTTTGTACGCAGGTTTCGACGCTATTTTGGAAATGCTGGGGAAAGTCTCAAGGGCATGATTATTTGAACACAATTGTTGTGCGAAGAATACAAAGTACATGTACCTCTGCTTTGACGACGATTTTCACTGCCACCACTAGGCTGCTGACCAGGTGCTCAGCTCGATGGACAACGCCGAACGTGCCATGGCCAATCGGTTCGCGGTCCACTCGGTAGTAGCTGGCCATCTGATTGGCTTCTTCCAGACGCGTCGTCTTGACCACTCGGTTGCTAACAGACGGCCGCCGCCATCTCGGCCAGGGTTCCTTGCTGGGGTCGTCCAGCCTCGACCCGCCACCGGACATTGTGACGAGAATGCGTCGGGTGTCAGCCAATGGCTCTTGTTTTCTCCGCGGCTAGATAGTAGTGAATGGACGTGCCGCACTGCTGGGAGGAACAATCCTTCCAAGCTACAGGAAAGAACGATCGCTGCACCTTTTCTACATTGTGCTATTTGTGGCTAATTTTTCCAGTGAAAACGCTGTCTTCTGTGTCACTCGTTCAGAGTCGTTGAGCTGAGCGAGTCGTGCCAGCATACCTACTACGTAACCTACAAAATGTACAGTGTAGTACCTGCTGTCCAGCTTAGCAGCTAGCTGAGACTGAGAGTCAGACTTGTGAGAGTTCAATCATGCAGAACGGATGAAGGATCGATTGTAACTGAATGTTGAAACAACATTCAACATACATCTAGATCTGCAGACTGCGCATGCCATGGCACTTGTCATGTCGATCCACAGACATGTCTGTCTTCGAAGCTTCGCGAGACTGGTCTGCGGTCCATGCACGTACACGAGTAAAACAATAAAAATAAAAGTAGTCATGACTCTTGTCTGTGCCATGGCCATGGTCATTATAAAAATATAATACAAAGACTAGTATTATAGTATACTGTGGAAAGGAAGCAAGTAAGTTAGTTTTACGGCTTGTCTTTATTCAAACAACAATGTTCTGATGTGCTAGGAGGTAAAGTTCCCAGCTCGGCCATCGACCCGTATTGTAGGCTGTACTGGCCCGGCTGTGTCGACCATAAACGTGTGTGTGTCACATTCACATGAACTCACGACCTTTACTGACACTATTTGACTAGTCTCTACTCACGACTACACGAGTAGGTCTACTAGTAGTACTGAGTCTGTTTGTCATCAGATCTTATTGCAAATCTCACGTCAGTGACAAGAGACAAGGAAGAAATGGTGAGAATTGGAAAGCCTTTCCACGGTAACGCCAAGTTAGTCGCCGTGTGCTTCGCTGCGACCAATCAGAAGGCGAAATGTGGCTTCTTTGTTTTAATGCACCGGCGGGAAGAACCAAAACAGTAGACACTGACAGGATGTATCCACGGTTACAGGACAGCATGTATTGCATCACAGGATTCTGCACTGGTTATATGAGACAAACAATTATGCATGGTGTTACAGCCCATAAACAGAGAAAACAGAGGAGAGAGTGTGCACGCAAATGACTGGTCCCTCGCAGCTCAACGTGAAACCGTGACAACAGGCTGTCACTTCTTTTGGTGCTTCACATCCTAGCCTAGGTTCATGAAATAGTTATTTATGTCACACGTAGATCTACTGGTCAAACTGGATCAAGAGAGCAACTGCCTGGTCTACCAGACCGCTATATCATATGTACTCTTTGCATCAAAAGCGTGGAGTGCACAGGGGTCACCTTGGTTTCAGAGGTAGCCCTTGGCGGATTATGCCGGCATAATATTTGGCATAATCTTGGGATTTCGTCAAAAAATTATGCTCCGGCATAATATACGGATTCCAACGTGTAAGGTCGGCATAATCTTTCGGTTTAGACAAACATTATGCTTAGGGGCATAATACAGCTTTGTCAGAAAGCCTGCAGATGTTTTTTTTTTAAATACCCCAGTTACGATTCCTTGTCATAGCCCTTGGCGGATTATGCCGGCATAATATTTGGCATAATCTTGGGATTTCGTCAAAAAATTATGCTCCGGCATAATATACGGATTCCAACGTGCAAGGTCGGCATAATCTTTCGGTTTGACAAAAATTATGCTAAGGGCAGGGCCGTGTGTGTATGCGTGGTTTCTCAATCCTCTATGTACAGCGTGAATACATCGTGGAACCGAGCATAGTTCAGCATAATTCAGCATATTTGTTGGCATAATTGTGGCATAATTGTGGCATAATCAAAAGCATAATTTGACGATTAGCTGAGCATAGTCCGCCAATGGCTATTCAGAGGCCACCTTTGGCCAGTTCTATGGGTGACTATTGAAACCAGGTTTTGTTTCAACATTGTGAGAGCGGAAGGTAACAGGTTGTCAGCACGATGTACAAAAGGCTAAAGTACATGTGAGTGGGGTGGCATTTGTACAGTTGAGCGAGAACTAGAACACCTACCTATTGTGCACCGTTATTATCACAGCGCCGAATGATAGAATGCATGGTGCGCTGTAGTGTCTATATTGGTGAAGAACGTGTACATGGTGATAAGAAAATCTCTAAGTTCGCTAGTAGTCGCCAGACGGAAGTGACTTACATACACTGATCGTACTGTACACACAGTATGTTCACTATTGGTTCGTTTTATTTACCTGGCTATGAGCCTATGCTGTAAAGATTGCCCATTTAATTCCCAAACAGAGACCAACAATGATCGCACGTCCATAAATCTTACCTCTTGCACAACCTGAACAGCCCAGCAACTCCGTCAACCAATGCTCTGTAGTATTGTCAGGCCTGCCAGGGTCGACTCATAACCGTCTCGTATTTATCCATTCGTGGTTATCCTAGTTCTTCAACTGTTTCACTCATCATTGTCCAGAACTTCCGGACACTGCGACGACAATGCAAACTTCTCACGCGTCGTAAGCAAGCCACTTTAGACATGGTCAGCATTTTACCGTTCACACTATTTTCGGCGGTAGGCCTGCACCGTTTTTTTGTGTGTGTAGACATGGCATTTTGCAGTTCACGCGCTAAATCCAACGGTACTCGTACCCCAAACCCAAAATACCGTCGGTTTGGTACCGTTTCGACGATAGAAAGCTGTTTTTAGCGGGAGAACGAAACGGTAAGATTCTAACTTTGGTTACCTCACACGTCTCTCGTTGCGTCAGGAGTCAGGACTCAGAAGCCGAACTGCTAACCGTGTCTCGAAAACACATCAAAAACAGTAGACTCGCCCTCTACACGCCGACCGTCGAAATAGCGTGAACGGTAAAATGCTAACCAGGTCTATTCTTTCAGGACGAATTTATTTACAATAGGAAGAACCCCAGAGGCCAATGGAATGTTCTAAACACTCTGTTCTAAGCACTCTGCTTGGTCGAATCAAGATCCACCTTGAACCAGGTGCAGAGGTCAAAGCCATCACAGCTACATTCTCCGAAATAGCATCACCGGGTTCGCCAAATGCACCAACCGCTATAACGCACACTACACTGCCACTAGGTCCGATTCCTGAACACAACTAACTAATTACTTACCGGTATGTTACTTCTGCACTTTTCATCGCATCCCGACATGGACAAGCCTCGTAGAATTCTACCTAAAGCCAGTAAAGGCGTGAAGCGGTTGGACTGCCGCAAAGCGTGCTGTCCCGACAACGTACCGGCAGCAATCTACAAGTCTGCAGCTGACGGGATTGCCCCTGTTCTCGCTCCGCTATTTTCAGTCTCACTGCAATCTGGAACTTTCCCAACTCCTTACAAACAGGCTAACCTCCGGCCAATACATACGCGAGGTGACCCCAGCAATCCTACTACAAGTAATTACAGACCAATATCGCTCCTTCCGCAAATGTCCAAGCTGTTAGAACGCTGCGCCCTTGACCAGCTAATGGAATTCGTAGATCTACGCGACGCTCCACAAACAAACCAAGCACTGCCGCCCGAACAGTTCGCCTACAGAAGACAACACTCCTGCGATGACTTGCTAGCCTTGGTGGCGAATGACTGGCAGCAAAGTCTGGATGCCGGTAAATACGTGGTGGCAGCGTTTCTTGATATGTCGAAAGCAGGGAGTCGTAAAGGCTTTTACGACTCCCTGGTCGAAAGCATTTGACACGGTCAATCACGACATGCTACTGCAGGAGCCGGAGCTTTTCGAGATCGGCGTTGGAGGTAGTGCACTGCAATGGTTTGCGAGGTACCTACACTGTAGGAGGCATGCAGGCCGGGAGTCGTAAAAGCCCGGTTTACCCGTAGATCTACCCACACGACGACGGTTGTTGTTCGCACGTTTTCCTCCGGCAGGCTGCTCGTCTAAACCGTCTGTCTCAGTCTTACTATCTTCTCCATGCGCTGAAAGGTGCCAACCGCAAACCGACTTTACACTAGAGTCTACGGACGGCGGTCTGTGCGTAGAAGTCCCAGTTCGAGTAGCGTGGCCTACATCATACAGTACATGATTGTAGATCTACATGAATGCCCGCGAAACCAAAATCCTCGGTGTGATTCTGTGAATAGGCCGAGCAGCAGCCAGGCGCAGCACTTTCCTACCTTGTGAAACTTTCCCGCGCAGGTTTCTCGTCGACAGCTGAGCTTGATGAAAAGAAAACCATGTGCTTGACTTCGCCATTCTCTTATTCTGCATGCACTGCGCGACACGACATTTGCAGCGCTTTGTCGAAAAAGGAGCGAGAAGTAGAAGCTTGTTTTCCGCTCCTCCTTCCGTAAGAACTTGAAGAAGCCCTTCCTCCCTTATTCCTCCTAAATAACTATTACTTCAAAGAACGTTCCAGGCCCCTTCTCTTCCGCACCGTACACGCTATGTTGACTTCACAAGGAGCGTGGCACTGTTAGCGGTAAGTCGGTACATGAGAGCTTTTCTCTCTTTTGATACTGTTTTTCCGTGTTGTCGTGCTTTAGTGAAATACTTGCTGACGACGCTCTAAGTCTGACTTACCAGGCGCAAAGCGTTGTCCTCACTTCCAGTGCTTCCAAACACTGCTATTTAGTTATTCTGTTGTTCGCTCTCACCACCAGTTTCCGCACCTTGCTGTGCTGTAATGTTTACGAGTGTCCTCATCTCTCCTGACTTTCCCCGTTTCACTTCCTCAATGAAAAGAATTCGGGTGGACACACCCAATCCCATAGCGCTGCACATCACATCCGAACCAGTTCCGTTATTGTTATTACCTGACGATGGCCGGGTGCCGAAACGTTGTAAAAATAACGGAACTGGTTCGGATGTGATGTGCAGCGCTATGGGAATGGGTGTGTCCACCCGAATTCTTTTCACAGATGAAGCTGCAGGAAGCCTCAGCCCTTCTTCAAACTCACTTCCTCAAACTTACGAATTTCTCTTTCTCGCACTTATCACTTGCTCGCAGAAGACGGCATGCCTGGTTACCAATATTTACTGCAACCTTCCAAGATGAAAGCATAGACTCCGCATATCCGCAGCAAGTAACGTTAGTCGAGTCGGTTGTTCTGACTTGCTGAGGACTACACCATGAACATGTACTGTGGCGCGGAGCGTATCACGTGG